GTTAAGAAGACAATGAATCCGGGTCGGATTCTAGAAATTCTGATTCGGATCGGGCCCTCTTTCTATATGTTATTTTGTTTTTTTTGGGTTTTCAATTCCTTTTTGATTTCTTACTGAAATAATTATTTGTTACTATAATTAATAATTGGTGTAATAATAATTTCAACAATTATTCAAAATAAAAAATAAACTTATTTCAATTTTAGAAAGATTATTAATTTTCATATTTGAAAACAAAAGATAAATTAGTATAGTTTCGAAAATATTATTATTATAATTGCATAAAATTGATTGTTGCATATTCAGAAAAATATTGATTAATTTATATTGGAAAATATAGGATAAATGATTTTTTGCTAATTTATTGATTAGTTTTTGTTGGAAAATAAAAGATATATTAAATTTTTATAAAATTATTACATTTTCAGAAAAGTATTGCAATAATTATTGAAAATAATTGTAGCTATACAAAATTACCAGAACTTACAACTAACTCTCAATTTACATGGAAAATAACAAAATTACATGAAATTACCAGAAATTTTCAATTCATCGAGAAAATAACAGATGTTACTAGACATTAACAGAAATTGTCATAAATTAGCAAAAATTATTTTCCATTTTTAGTAGTTGTTGATTTGTTTTTTTTCCTTGAATTATTTATTTGTAAATTATCAGTAACTATTGAAAATTACTAGAAATTATTAATAAGTTGATAATATTATCAGTAATTACTTGATTTAAATATTAACCTTATTTATTAATTAACAATATTAATTATCCATTTTTATTGATGATATTAATTGACTATAGTAATTAATTACAGTATGACTAAATACCATTTCGGTATGAAGGTAATTTATTAATAAATACCATTAATAATAAGTTACCATTATTTTTTAATTACTACTTTAAAAGTACCACAGTTCCTATACATTTTTTATAAATACTATTATTAAATATTGTTAATAAATCCTATTAATATATTTAATAAATACAACTCATTAGCTCCAATGAAAAAATTACAATGGAGGTTAAGGGTAGTTTCATAATTTTAGGATTTTTAAGGGTATTTTGGTAATTTTGGTAAGCTTAGGGGGGTATTTTGGTCAATTCAGGTATGAGGAGGTTAAAGTTATGATTATAATCTAATGGTGGGTATTTTGGATCAAAAAACCGAAGGGTAGAGATGGATCTCATTTACCTTAACCGCAAGGAGGGGGATGCCGAAGGCAGGGCTAGTGACTGGAGTGAAGTCGTAACAAGGTAGCCGTACTGGAAGGTGCGGCTGGATCACCTMCTTTTCAGGGAGAGCTAATGCTTGTTGGGTATTTTGGTTTGACACTGCTTCACACCCYAAAAGAAGCGAGCTACGTCTGAGCTAAGCTTGGAGATGGAAGTCTTCTTTCGTTTCTCGACGGTGAAGTAAGACCAAGCCGCGGGCCAATGAAATTACTTGAAATGAAATCTTTTTATACAAAGGGGCAAATGAGGGTATTTTTGGCTGAAATTTTATAGGGTGGGGTTTTTAGACATTTTGAATTGATTGCTTATGTCGGATTGGCCCAAATAGGCCCAAATTAGGTAGATCTAGAGGGGTAGTGATTCAGTCAATCTAGAACTTTGAAACGGAATCATGGTAAAATGAGGGAATTTGTGATTGAAATTTGGCAGGCTGGTGCGTTTGAGCATTTTGGGTGGATTGGTATGGTTAGATTGGCCCAATTACACCCAGATCGAGCAGATTCAGGAAGAACTTGATTCAATCAATCTAGATCTTTGAAACAAAATCTTCATATGATGGAGGGGCAAAGAAAAGTATTTTGGGCTAAATTTTTGTCAATAGGACTTTTAGGGTGTCTAGGATCTTATAACAACATCTAATTGGTTTCAGATGGCCAAAATCAAGAAAATTTGGGTTAAAACTTTAAGGGTAGATGTTTTGGTGTGTCAGGTTCAATCGTATAGTTTGATTGGTTTAGAGGTGTTAGGATTAGAGAGATCTAGGTTGGGGGTGCTTTAGGCTCGAGAAGGTTTGAAAGGGATTCTTGGTTTGATGAAAGCATAAACAGAGGAATCTTACATTGAAATTTTAAGTTAGGTATTTTAGGAGGTCCCAGGTCTAATGGTGGTGTTCGGGGGGTTTTAGGTTCTTCAAAGGGATCTGAATAGTTTGATCGGGTGTTCGAGATAAATTAAGTTTTTTGGCAATGAACTGAACAAAAATCGGATGTTGATAGATGGGTTTCTAAAGGTATTGGTTTCTTAGATCATTTGGTGGGGTTTGATCGATTTATAAATGGTATGATCAAGGGCATACAATAAATGGATATCTTGACTAATGAGATAGCTTACATTGAAATCTTAGTCTGATTAAGAATCAACTGTGATGGAATTTTGTGATAAGATGTTTATAAGTATAATGGGATCTTTATAATCCCATTAACTCTAATTTATAATTCAGTTAAAAAATCTTATGCACCGCACAGATACCGATTAGTATATAATAAAGGAAAAAAGGGAGGTCACAAATGCCTTGTGTGGGTCCAAATTTACAATATGTATTCACTCAAAAGAATTCCTTGGGCTCACTAAGAAAAGAGACTTTAGGTGGGGCCCAATGTATTTAGCCCATTAGCCCAAGGAGACATGGGTGGGCCTAATTGATGCAATGGTCTCATAAAATGAAAGGAAAATTTCTTGAAATCAAATCTATCATCGGTTGAGAAATGGCCTAAATCTTAAAAGGCAACTGACATATTTGAAGGCTTAATTGATCAACCAAATGAAAAGTCATGGTTGGCCAATGAATTACATGATGCATGGGCCCAGCCCCTTTGCCAAGTGGTGCTTAGGGAGATAAATCCAATATATGCACTCAATTACATTTAAAGGGGAATCAAGAATGGATCATCAAGCTGTCAATCTGGTGGGTCCATATTAATTACAATTTATAATAAGCATAGCTGGTTAAATTTCAATTTGAATTCAAACCAGCGGATTTATCTAAGGGTAGGCATTATGAATAGAATAGATATAGGAAGAAGAGCAAGGTTCTCCGTCCTTCGGCTCCCTTTAATAGCTCCCAAATTTTGCTTTGGCTCTTCAACCATTAAAGCTTCGGAATTACTACAACTCCTTGACAAATTGATTAAGGGATTTCGGCTTTAAGTTCCTGCAATCAAAATACTTGCCAACCTACAATCAAAACGGCTTTTTACTGCAACAACAATAATAAAAAGTAAAAAAAAAGAAAAATCTTTTTGTCAAATTCTTGCAGCGATAAAGATTTCCATGAAGTTGTTGATTTATCGTGAAGAAAATTTTGCTTCTTCTTGCTTACTTCTTATAATTGCAAGTTACTATTATGGCTCCAGATTTTGTTCAAGACACAAGAATCAGAGGGTTTTCTTTGCAAAAAAAAAAAAAGAGATTGTATCCCACTTACATTTCTGCCAAAAAAAAAAAAAACAAAGTTTCTTTGAATTTATCTTCATTTTTTGTGTTCCAAATTTATGCATGAAATTTGTGTCGACATATGCATTAGGGCCCCATTTGATTGATAGGAATAGAGGTTTGGAATCAGAATCGGAATGGGCTATTTTGATTGCAACTTTTTGGTTGGGCCGGAATTCTATTCCCATTCCCGGTGCATGGCATTCTTCTATTTGAGAGAATGACTATTCCTTCCCCTCTTTTGGTAATGAAATCCCATTCCTACTGATTCAAAGTCCTATTCCCATTTATGATTGAACCAAACATGCAGATTATGGGAATAGATCGTTCTTATCCCGATTCGTTTTGTGAACTAAGCAGACCTTAGATTGAACAAAACCATATTAAATGAAGTAGCATAAAATAGATGTCTCCCTTCAGTCAACATTTGACTAGAAAAGATTTCCTAGCAGAAAAGGAAAAGAAAATTTGAAATTCAAATAAAAGGGAAGTAAAAGCAAATGAGACAATTAGGGGTGGATTCAAACCGAGCTGAGTCAAGCCGAATACTTAGCTATTCGAGATTGGCTTGCAAGAATAGTATCAGGCTCGAGCTCGGCTCGGCTCGGCTCGAGCTCGACTATAAGCCAAGTTTTTTTTGAAAATTAAAAATTATATGTATAAAATTATTTTTTATTTTTTAGACAAAAATTAAGAATTATAAAAATTATTTAATAATATATATACAAAAAATAATTATAAAAATATATAATATTATAATATTATATATACAAAAAATAAATATAAAAATTATTTACTATTATAATAAAAATGATTTATTTAATAATAGGCTCGCAAACCTCACAAGCCGAGTTTCATTGGGATCGAGCTCGACTCGATTAACAAACAAGCCTATATATTGGGTTAAAACTTGACTCAAAATTCAGTTTAAACTGAACCGAGCCAAACTCGAATAGCTCATACAAAACTCAACTCGTAGCAACTCCTAGTACGAGATAATGAAAAACGGTGACTCGGTGACTCGGTGAGGGGAAATGAGCTGCTCTCCTGCCTCCCGTTGGAATAGCGCTGGGCTAAAATGGTGAAATCACGGCCTTTGACGCACTGCTGTGGCCCATTTTTAATCTCTTCATCCAATTCAAAGTGGGAAGTAAAGGAGCTGACTTTGGTGGACTTGGGCAATGGCCCAAGTTTCCTTGGGTCCAAGCAATGCTAATGCTAGGTTGGGATAGAATATTCAGTTCTATTATTCCAAATTTTCAACCCGAGGTCATTGGAATTTGAAAAAACAACATGTTGGGTTCCCAGACTCCCAGTTCCCACAGCCACAAGATCATTCATCGCATGGCTGAATTAATTACTTGTTCTAATTTCTAAGTTCGATACTTTTAATGTTTGCTTTGAAGTTTGGAATTCTTCAGCTTAAAGGGATCGTCGGTAGACTTGAAGACAGAGAGTCAGAGACCTCGTGCAAACAATTCTTTAAGAAAATATAACAGCGTAGAAGTTGGATCAGAAGAAGAAGAAGAGTAGAAAGAAAGAAATGAGAACTAAGAATCAGAAGGACCCCAACACTCAATAGTGAACTACGTTTAGTTTATACATTCTTGGCTTATTTCTGGACACAATTTACAGTCAGAGCTCATCCCAACTGCTTGATATGGACCGTTCATTTGGAGAGTTGAAAATCTACTCCATAGTCCATATAGACTGGGGAGACTTTTTAATTATACGACATCTTCATTCCCGGAATATGACGTCACTTGCTAGACTCATTAGCATCTCCAGTGATTCCGGCGGAAATTTCCGTGCAAACAGGAACGTATGGTTGCGAACAGTTTCTGAACTATTCCAGTCTCCACCATTACCATATCTTAATCTATCACGCCTGAGAGAAATTATGAGTTCTGATCCCACTTCCGATGCTCCGTATGTATGGGGATGCCCGCCTTGGCTCCATCTCCAGTTCACGTTCGTGAGGGTCGCCGGAACGCACCCAAGAGAGTCCTCCATGCTCAGCAGCGTCGAGAAGTAATGCTCCTCTGGGTAGCAAATCTGGGGACTTATGCAGGGAAGTTTGAACTTGGCCCAGAGCCGCTCGTCCTGCACCACCAACCTTGCGTGTCGACGCGTCAGGATGAAGAACTGAGACCCGACGCGGAAGCTCTCGAAGGGTACTTCGGGCATCATCACATCAGCTCCGCGCGCCATGTACCGATCATAGATGCCGGGCTCGTCTTTGAGAATCTCAATGAAGCTCTGGTTTGATTGCAGGAGGGCATTATAGGTGAAGGCGAAGGAGTGGAGAGGGATGCAGGTGGAGGAGAGGAGAGCAAACATGGCGTTTGTGGAGTCGTGGAGGAGTGCATGGGCGAGGAGGCGGCGAGCTGAGGAGATGAGAGTTGGAGAGCCACGTTGGGTGGGTTTGGAATAGATGACTCGGCCGGAGAAGACACCACGAAAGGGCGGGTCATAAGCATAAGAGGGATCGGCGTGGATGTAAATATTGAAGAGGGCCTCTGGTTTCTGCTTGCGGGGTTGTTGCTTTGTTTGGTTTTGGTGGAAGTAGTGTTCCCAAAGTGGGGCTAAGGGGAGAGGGGTTGTGGTCAGGAACATGAAGGCTATCTTCTTTCGTGCACTAGTGGGCTCTGGGTTTGGGTTTACTTGGGAAGCTACTCGAAAGAGCTCGTCATCTCCTTCCGGTGGTGGCGGAGGTGGTGGTGGTGGTGGCGGTGAAGGCGGATACATGATGATTTTGCCATTGTAGTTTGTGAGAAGGAACAAGTTTAATAGGTTGGTGTGCCGTGCGGTGGTGGTGGCGAAGAAGAGAATGAGAGGGAAGCACAAAACGATGGCATAGCAGAGAGAAGAGGGAGTCGGAGATATCATCCTTCAAGAGATTTGAACCAGAGAGAGAGAGAGAGGAGATGTGAAGGGCGTGGTTCTATACTTCTACATCATCTACGATGACTTTTCAAATTATGGTAAGATGGTTCGTACGAAACGTGTGAGGACAAAAGCAAAACAGGCATATCATGGAGCGGTGCAGATCCGATATTGGATTAGAACCGTATTTATCGGGTGAGACGGGATTTCTCATTTCCGGACTGCCTTCAGGAAATCCCGGCTCTTGTATTGGGTTGGGCTCCATTTAAAATCGAACCCAAAAATCCGAGCTTGAATTCGAAATTTGGGCCATTTCGCAGTAATCAAATCATATCTGGATATTACTTTCATACTGTTTTAAAGCAAATTTGGATATCACAGTGACAGTCATACCATTTTAAGTTCATAATATTTGAATTTGAATTTTTATTTTTTTTAATATCCAACGGATATCAAATCAAACTCAAATTGGAACCCTGCTTGATTTGATTCGAGTTCCTTTTAATTACACTCTTAGATCGAAGTGTCTTACAAGATACAAATCTTGATTTGCAGGCATGAATAATTGGATACATGCGTATTCAAGCATTAGATACTATCATGGTTCAATTCAAGGTATCAGTAGTACACTTTAAAAAAAAAAAGAAAAAATTTCAAGGTATCAATACCCTTGCTTATGGAGAGTTTTTATTGAGCTGAAACTCTTTTTTTAATCCTTTTGGTGTTATATTTTAACAGTGGTATTATTACGAGTTTTGGGTTTTCTCCTCACAAAATCGGTCTTGACACCCACGTCACAGCGATGACATCTCTGCATGTTTTTCAAACCGTATGGTGTCATTGATCGTTCAGTCCAGAAATCATGCAGTAACTAGTTCTATTTCACCCCTTACCTGATGTTTTGCCAAAAATCATTAGTAGGTGGTCGAATCATCGATCTGTTCGACCAAAATAATAGTTTTTGGCCTTTTTTATTTTAATCATTTTTTAAATTGCAACAGGTTGTTTATTCGAATTGCTGACCCAAAAACCAATGGCCAAAGGGGTTTCGATTCTGGGTCAGTTTTTAGAATATTGTATCTACATATTTGAATATTTTTATTCATGGAGAGATATTTCCAATGCATGTTAATTTACATGGTTGTGAGGTGGGTTTGAGGACAACTTTATGAGTAATAAATCCAATTTTCTATTATTGCATCTAGGGGTGTCAATTGGACTGGATTTGGTCCAATTCGATCCAGTCCAATATAAGTCCATTACAAATGGACCAGGTCCAATCCAATCCAATGAATATTTTGGACCATTTTGGACTGATCCAATCAATGTTTGGACTATTCAATTTGTTCAAATTTGTTTTGATTTAGATTGGTTCCAACCCAAATCTGGTCCATTAACACCTATATTCTTATCTTTTATCAATGGACCAGATATTAGCTCAATCCAATCCAATACAAATTCATTACAGATAGACTAGATCCAATCCAATCCAATAAATACTTTGGACCATTATTAAGTCTAGACTGGTCCAATTCATTATGCCTTGTTGGTCCGTGCAATCCGTCTAAATTGATTTTGGTTTGGACGGATCCAACTCAAAACCGGTCCATTGGCACCCCTAATTGCATCGCATTTTAACTCAAGCCAATTGTGAATAATTGCATATGTTCACATATTACAAAGATACCCCCACTTTGATACCTATTCTTTCTTTCATCATAAAGAATATTTATTTTTCTTATGACATACATATAACATTATCATATTATCACATCCAAATTTGTAAATTCAAAAGTTAAAAGTATAGCTATCAATTATAATCGGGTCTAGTCCCAATTACAAGTCCTAGGGTCCGGTTCAATACTGGTTCTGCACATTTACTAATGTGGAAGCATCAGTCTTATTCAATTTACCATGGTTACCCCTTGATTAAACAACACATTTCCACACTTGATAGCAAGAGTTCACTCTTGTGCATGGCTAAAACCAAGAATCATGGCCCTTAGATGTATTTTAGTGGCTCCACCAAGATATCATTTTATCTAATTTAAGGTGGGGCCATACCAATACATCAAAGGCTTTGATTTTATTGTTTCATTGTCTAGCAAATGTGGTTTGTGATAGTAATAGCCGAAAATAAGCAAATGGAAACTTCAATTTCAGAGAGAGTAAAATAAGCTGAAACGCAAAAGAGATTTCTGGACAGTTGCGCATAACCAAATCTTACAAATTCGAATGTTGCTTTGATTTCATTATGTTTTCAAGCTTTCATTTTGAAGATATCAACTTTTCTAAGAAACATATTAGTTAGTTGCTGCATGACTTTTTTTTTTTTTTGAAAAACAATACATTAAACCAAAATTATCCACCATGAAAGGTGCAGCAAAACAGTAGAGATCCATATCCAAAGAGTACAGAAAGAACATCCCTCTCTCTCACACCTGCAATTGCACATGCCACTCAACAGTTTCGAGATAATAATATTAAATGTGATATTTACTTTCACGTAAACTTGTAATATAAATTTTTAACCAAAATCAATATATTAACTAATAAATATGACATTTAATATATTGTATTATTATCTAATAAATATGATGGTACATAATGTACTATTTTCTTGAAGGGCGAAAACAYCCAAGAGAATCAACAATCATAATAAATTTGGTGCACTTGCGCTCCATCATGTAACAAAAGATTTGATTGTTTGAATATGAAAATAATAATAATAATAATATTATTATTATTATTATTATTAATTTTATTATTATTATTATTATTGAATAGTACTTCTAAAAAGTATTTTCGAGGAGCAGTTTTTACAAAAAATAGTTTTAATAAACAACATAACATAATAAAGTGGTTCTAACTTTTGTCTTTAATTATATTTATGAAAACAGGTGGAAAATATCAAAAAATCCATATCCATGTTCAGATAATATACTCTAAAGTAACATAAAAGTGCAAATGTTTGTAAAATTGCATTTTACTTGGACATGTACATAACACCCAATGTAATCACAGCAACAAACATAACATATGCGGAAGCCCAATACACATAGGTTAATTGAAGAATCAGGTGAAGCCATGAAATGATGGAGTTTATAATTTGCTTCCTCATATGTTTTATATGAGCAAACACTGCACTCTGTACTGGTGGACCTGCAAGTTGCATCCAGTCCAAGTATTGTATATACATGAGTGATGACCAATGAACACTACAAAAAATTTTCCCACCAGCCATTAATGACTTGTAATGAGATAATACATGAGTGACTAGATAAACATAAAGTAACCAAAACACAAAGTACTTACATATGTTAAAGTTAAATACATCTGCATTCAATGCATATTATTTATCAAAATCAGAGAAAAACGAAAATCATAACCACCAACATAGATTATGTTGAACTAAGCCTTCTCAATGGTGGCTGAGTATGGTTAGCATATATTGCATTTGCAAGTTGTTGCCTAAGCAACAACATCTCTTATTGCTGATCTACACTACCAACAACAATCTCATCAACATCTCCATTTGTCTTTGACGGAGGTTGGATTTTGAACTCTTCATCATTCTCAAACTTGTTAAATAAGGTGTTCGTGTCGTAGTTGCCCCTAATTAAGTTGTGTATTGCCATGCAAGCCACAACTATTAACCATTGTGTTCTCAGTGAATAGTACGACATACACTTTAGGATAGGGAATCAAACCTTCAACACACTAAAACTCTACTTGGTAACACTTCTCAATGAGGCAAGAGCATTGTTGAAGTATTCTTTTTTTTGTTTGTTTTAGGTCGTCCTCCCCTTCGAAAATCAAGCAAACGGTACCGTGTATTACGATATGGTGTTATGTAGCTAGTTATGTTGGGGTTTGTAAAATCAACAATATAATACTTACATGAGAATGAGGATATTATTTTTTTGCACCAATTCAGATAATATACAAAAATTGCAATGTATGATGCACTCATACACTATGGTGGATGCGGAAAATTATATTTTGAATTATGTACAGCTTCTGAAAATATGCGGTAGTCGTGTGCAATTCTCCCATCTAGTAAGGGCAAATGTAAACCGCATGTTGAAATCACATGCGACTGTTACATTTTGTGTGCAAGGCCTTTTCTATGCTAGTACGATCAAGGTTCAAAGTATCGGAAATGCCAAGTGTATTGGAAAGTCAATTTTAAGAAACATATCGGGATATGCCTTGGATATACATGCCTATCGGAGAAAAACTAAGGTACACATAGATACGCTTGAAAACACTATAAATACTTTATTATCTTGAGTTATGTAAAACTTACTTTGAGAGGAAATATTATTTTTATATTTTAATTGTTGTTTTTCATTTTACTTATGTGGCACCTAATCTGTGGGGGAGCTAGGAATTTTCTCTTGAGGGGTCAAAATTAAATAAGAAAATGAAATAGAGAGTAGAGAAAGTAGGGTTGGGAGAGAAATGGGGTAGAAAGTTTTGGGTATATCACAGTTATTTAAAATAAATAAATATATATATATATATATATATATATATATATATATTTTTTAATTTTGGGAGTTAGAAGAGCAGTAGAGAGTGATATCCTTACCATTTGGTAGAACTTTCCAGTTTTATTTTTTATTTTTTGGGACCCACTTTATTATGTTTCTAACTCTACCCTCCACTTACTAGCTAACTATATAAATCATGGTTTTAAGAAGAAGCTTGGGGGGCAAGGACCCCACCAATATACTTGGCTCCGCCCCAGCACCTTGTGACACTTATGTGGAATAAAACACAATAAACAATTATTATATGGCACATCATGCCTAAACCATGCTTTTCCCTGATTTCCATTGCATAAATTTAACGGACACGCAACACCACGATACCAAACATCGCCTGAATTAGAGTGGGTTGTCAAGTGGAAGATTTGTGTTGGAGCTAGGAATTTTTTTTTTTTTTGTTTGGTCAGGGTGAGGACATTGAAATTTTCTCAACAAGAAATCATAAGGCTGTGTTTGGTTGCAGTGCAGATTTATTTGTATTAGTACAAATGCCTGAGAATGTAAATGTAAAAAATACAAATTCTTGTTTAATTTTGTTTTGGAT